CGATCAGGACCGACACGGCGTGAGCTAGCTCCACCCTCAGCGTCTCGAAGAAGGACACCACGGCCGCTTTGCTCGCCTGTGAGTAGTTAATTGAAGTTGCAGTTAAATTCGGATCGAAACAAAGTATCGAAATGGGGTGGGGGCTATGAACACACAAGACTCACATTGTAGAAGCTCATCTTTGCCTCGGGCAGCCACGAAGCAGCGGACGCCATGGCGATGATCTTGCCGTAGGATCTGGCCAGGTGCGGTATGGCGAATTGGGTCATGTAAACCGATCCCAGAAGTTGGTGTCCTGCAGAACGAAACATTGGGGACTGAATCTCACTTGAAAGCTGATGAAAAATGTGATTTTGTGCAACTAATTACCATGATGGTTCTGAAGCTGGTGATATCGGCGACATCTTCGAAGTTGCACACCGAAGAGATCCCAGCATTGTTCACCAAGTGATCCACTAGCAAATTTCCATGCCCAGAAACAAAAACAAAACAATTGAATGTTAAAGACGTGAAAACAGAGAGAGGGAATTGAGCATGTTTGACACTTTGATTAATCAAAATTACATCTTCCGCCGAATTGGTTAACCGTTTCGTCGACGATTCGCCTGCAGTCGTCGACGTTCTGGACATCTGCAACGATGGAGATGACTTTCGGGGATCCCAATTCAAGAGCGACCTCGGCTACATCTCGCAGCCCGACTTCTCTGCGGGCGACGAGTGACAGGCACGCGCCTCTGCTCGCGTACTCGTAAGCCAGGTGCTGCGGGTAAAAACAAGAAGAAAAAACAGAAATTTAATCATAGCACAGAAAGGAAAGCAAGGTGATGAGAGGGATTTCAATTGAAACTTACTTCGCCGATGCCGGAGGAGGCGCCGGTGATGAGGACGACCTTGCCGGAGACGTCCTCGCTGGTGAGGTAGTGCAGCGCGGTGGTGCAGGCCTTGTAGAGGTAGTAGGGAGGGAGGAGGAAGCAGAGGGAGAAGAAGGTGAATGGAGGAGCTACCAAGTTCAGGAACTTGTGAATCAGATCCATTAGTAGCTGCGCTGTTGTAGTAGGAGTATACCAGATTGCAAGAGGGAATTCCTGAGAATGATGATGGAGAGCCGGCGGGGGGAAGGGGGATTATAATGGGTTTGTGGATAAGAGTGGAGAGAACGGAGACGAATTCTTTCTGGAGGAGGGGAAAGGGGGAAGGGAAACCATGGCGGACGGAGCTGAGTGGCGTTTGCTGCATGTACTGGACATGACACGTGGGGCAAAGAAGAAAATTCGAAACGTTTTTCTTTTGCCGCTTCCTGTGTTTAGGGGAGGGAAAAGAAAATTTTGGGGATAATTCCTTCCGACCTTAGCCATTGCCAGGGTCATATCTAAGATTGCTGTTGAAAAAGGATAGCAGCAGCAGTGGGCAACACTGCAACTTTCTTTAGTTTCTGGAATCTAACTCAATTAGGGGTGGTATCAATTGGTATTCGGTAAACAAGATATCGAGTAGTCGAAATTCGGTATACCGGCAATTGAAATTCTGTCGCTGAATATCGATACCGAAAATTATTCGATATATAATATGTCAGATAGTTGATTACCGATATTTTAACTAGTATATCGGATACTGGATAGATCGTTTTCTTCCAAAATTGCAATCATTGAATTGTGAGTTCTAAATTCGTTGAAAACCTTCCTCCCTTATTCTTCTTTCTGCCAGCCACAAGCTCTCCCTGATCCCTCCAATTTCATTTCCAAAACCAATTGTCCAATTATCATCCAATTATACATCTCACCAATTAAACAAACAACACCAAATGCCTAGATCAAATCCCAAAATCAACACTTTCACTGTCGAGGAATGTGATATGCTACAAGTGGCGCGGGTTGAGGTTTGGAAGCAGAAGTAAGAGAATCCTTTGCCCTTATTTCATATATGCTATTTCGGTATTCCAATATATCCGGTTGCCGTCGATATATTATCGGGTATTATCATGTATACCGTTATGCCAAATCACGCCATCGAATACCGATACCGCCGGTATCCGGTAATACCGAATACTGGTTTACCGATTACCACCCCTAAACTCAATTATGGTGCTCATAAAAATGTTTGTGAGAACGTGTTCATAATGCTGATTTATGTACATTGAATTGAGAGTGTACGCTTCATACCATTGAACAAATAGGGTAAAATTCATGGTCCATGAAACCATACCGGATATCATACCGAAAAAGTCAGCGGTATGATTTTATGATAAAATCGTGGTTTAACCGTAGTTCAACTGTTAGATCGTTAAATATCGTCTATAGATTTAGCCTCTGATACTGGTATTTCATGGTTGAACCGCTAGTGCGGTACGATTTCATGGACCATGGTAAAATTACTACTGAACAAAATGAGTGAAAGATAGAATTCAGACTGCTTTTTCGTGTTTGCTAATATGAAGAAAAGTAGTATTTGATAAATTGTATCGTACTAATGGTGCGATTGAAAAATTACCTATCAGTGCACAAATCAATATAAAATTCTATCATGATGAAATGGTGTACGGTTTACGCACAAAATAACCTACCACTAACTTATTATGTACAACTTTCTTATTGTATACCAATCTCCAAAAAAATAATGAAGTATCTTGGATGAATCAATTCTGAAACGAGACAATTTGATAAATTGTGTTACTTTATAAAACGAACCATTTATAATGAGTTAATTCACATTATCTACCATATTTTTTCCCGATAATTCATTACCTACCATATTCCAAACAATTGAAATTGACTAAAAATAAATTAATTCAAGCTATCTAAATTTTTTTTAATAAATCAATCAATTTGATCAAATTATCTAAAAAAAATAATGAATGGGTTACAATTCATTATCGAAGGTTGCAAGCTGCAAGCCTGCAAGAGCCAAAAGTGTAAGGCAAAGTGACGCAAACCATCTCGTTGTTGTTTGAAGCCAGTTTGCAGAATCAAGGGGTCCGGGAGCTCAGAGGGAACGCTGCTAGTGCTCGGCATGAAGGATCAGATATTGATCCAGGGATGCGAAGGGTAGGGTCATTCCCTCCTAACAACGGAATAAGGGATCGTCACCATAGCTCCCCAAAAAGCACAAAACGAAGATCCAGTGTTTGGATCACCAAAAAAGGGAAGTTTGTAAGCTTCCAAGGAACTCAAATGATAGCTTCCTGTCCAAATAAACAACCAAAGTTATCGAAGGTTGAGCTGTGGCGATTCAAGCTGCCCTCCCATAATTTATAGACAGAGAGGATGATACAGCCTCCCCTTCTATACTCGTTGGGAGCGTGCTCCTGACTGGCAGCAGTGTTTCGGGTCGTATAATATCAAGTTTTGATAAGACCTGGTTGGCTAGTCCAGTGTTTGGGACTGGCCGGAAGTTGGTGACTTTCCAACATTTGCCAGTGAGGACTTGTCGTTTTCCCTCGTGGCGACCGGAATAACGAATAGCAGGGCCAGGCGAACCGGTGAACGCAAGGGAGTTTGTTGTTCAGTGAATCTAGCCACCTAATCCCAGGTCCGGTTTTGGTGGGATTTAATCCCCTCCTATTCTGCTAAAGAAAATGAAAACGACTTCGGATCAAAGTCGGACTCCCATCCCCATATGCAACCTCTACACCCGAACCCTAGCCACATTTCTGCTCTTTGGGTGGCAACTGGACTCTCTAGTTTATTTAAACCCGTCCCCTATACGTCACACTCTATCAATTTCCCATCGTAGCGTGTGTTTGTCAACGACAGAGAACAACTCCGACCACGCGCATCAGTCTTCAAGCTCAGGTTTGCGTATGTCTTTCCACATATGACCTCCCTACCCTAATATTAGTGGTCTATCTTCACTGTTGAGTGTACCTTTGTCTTTTCTCATGAAGAGAGACATGCATATGGTTCTCGACAAGCTGGTGAAAGACTCCTCCAGGTGTCTAACATCTTGATTCCCCATGATTGCTCTTATGTACCTACGATGGCTAGTGTTCAAGATGATCAAGTTGTTCAATTCTCGCTGGAGGAACTCCATTCTGCAAGGTTTCGAAGCTCTTGTGCCTTGGTGGGAAGACTTTTTACGGATGATAATAGCTCCGTTGCGGAGCTCAAAGACTCGTTGAATGTCCCTTGGCAGGGGAAGGGGAGGATACAAGTGATGGTGGACAAACATGGTTTGTTTGAATTCGTGCTGCCAAGTGAGGCATCTAGAAATTGGGTGCTGAAAAATACACCCTGGGTGATCAAGAATAAAATCCTGCATCTCCGAGCTTGGATGTCCAATGTCACGAAGCGGACTTTTGATGATCTCGCCATAGTTCCCTTTCGTGTCCAAATGAGGGGCGTGAAAGAAGACTGATGTACAAAGCAGTTTGGAAGAAAGATGGCTAATAATACCATTGGCCATGTCCTAAAAGCGGGTGTATTTACCTGCACGGACACTAGCGAATGATTCGTCAAGGTTATGGCATTGATTGATTTTTAAAACCCGCTGAGATCACAACTAATGGCGACCAATGATGAAACGGGTTGCTTTTGGGTAAACCTGAAGTACGAATACTTGCCCATCTTCTGTTTTCATTATGGATGTGTCAGCCATATGATGAATGCCTGTTCTTTCGATCCTCCTACACGGAACAAAAAGTTTGGCTCGCACATGTCTACCAAGAAGTTGGGGATGAGAGTTTATGATGAGGATGATGAAACCACTTTGTATCGCGGAGCATCAAAGTCAGTAACGGTCAACAAAGATATTCGAGAAAATAAACATGGCCAAGCTCGACTTGGGATTTTGCTCCATAGAAGGAGGCAAGATCGGTCGCTCTCACTGAGATAGTTGGGGCGCGCCGCCACCCAAAGAAAAGAGATGCATTGGTGCAATCCATGCATATAGCAGAGGACGTGATGAGTCGAGGCAGCAGTCCACGGGGCTTCTCCCTAAAGAAATCTCTGAAGCTGCAGCTAGGTCGGGCCTTCCAAAGATCAACTCCAAAAAAAGGAGTATGGGGAGAGCTCTCGCTCTGATCGACTGCGTGCTTCCCACCAGCATGGCAAGAAGCTAGGCCAGCCTCGTGCAAGGGACGAAGAGAAGCTGCCGCGAACTGCTGGGGACGTTCCAGATGATGACTCCAATCTTGTGGGAACAAACCTTGGGAGGCCTCGTGTACGGGCCGCAAAGGGGATGTCTAGGAATGCTAGGGACATTTCGCTTGGTGCTCGATCAGGGCAAGGGGAGGAACTAAGGGTGGTTGAGCCAGGGTCCGCTGGGCGTACTCACGATATAGTCCGACGCATGAGGATGATACTTGAGGATGATTCGGATGATGACCCCGTGCCCGCAGATCCTCCCATGCCAGCCATGCAACATGATATTAAGGGTTCGTGAGCCCAGGGGAAAGGAATGGTGACAACGCGATCATCTGGCTGATTGTCGTTAAAGGGTGGCATAAATCAATCGAGGGTCGAGTCTCCCCAGGTTGCTCGATGTACACGAAGAAGCTCCAAGCCTGACCTGGAGCGTGTTGGGGAGAAGAATCGAGGTTAGGCTGTCCATTTTAATGAAGTAGTGCAGGACATGACCCCGAGGGTGGATGATATGGTGGGTGTGGATTGGTAGGAGTCCCTCACGGCTGCCCCGCCGAGCACTCTCTCCTCTTCGCCTCTTGGCCAACTTTCATCATCGCTGGCTTGGGATCATGCCAAGCATAAAGATCATGACCTCTCAAGATCAGAGACGTCGCTACCGGAGGAGGAAGAACAATGTTTTGAGCTCAAGAGTCGCGCCCCAGGTAGGGTACAGACAACAGCTTCTAGAACCACTGTAACACCCCGAATTTTGGGTGATGGTTCGACCATAATACGTAACCGGTTGGGTTGTCAGTTGCGTACTAAAAATTGCAATCGCGGTTTAGTAATAATAATAATAATAATTATTATAATTATTATTTTATTATTAAAAAAAAAAAAAAGAAAGGTGCATGGTGGGGGCGGTCATTTAAACCCGCCGCCCTTCACAAATTTCCCCAGGCCATGTTATAAAAAAAAAAAAAAAAAAATTAATAATAAATAAACCCCAAAACCCGCCCGCTTTCCCCACCACCGACCCTGTCCATTATTTCCCCCAACTTTTTTTCAGAGAGCTTAAACCGCCGCCCTCTTAGACTTCCCAAACCCTCGCTCTCTCTCTTTCCCAAGCCCCGCGCCGATCAAAAGAAAACCCCACCAGCCGCCCTCTTTCCCGATCGCTAGCAGTCCCGCGAGAAAGGAAACCCCACCAGCCGCCGCCAATCAATCGATCCCATCCCTCTCGTGTTCTAGGTAAAGATCACAAACCCCTTCGCGATTTCTAAACGCGATTTATCGTTAGACTAATTCGAGGCTCGGATTTTATTAGCGGTGGCGTTGAAGGTGTCAGCGAGGAGATCAACGTTCCGGGT